TACAAAATGGATTAGTCAAAACAAACCCAACCCCTCGGTATTACTACCACTGTCGTCCCTCGCTGGACCGCCAAAAGTTGATCATTCTCTGACCCAAGATTTTCTATGAGCTTACAAGCCACGAACAAGGACTACTGATGTGCCCTAGCTGGCCACACTTGCAACAACTGCGAGTTTCCCCCAACTGGGGCTTGGGAACTCGACTCTACCGAGGCCCTCGAAATCTGTCCTGTTTGATCCCCCAAAACGATACTGTTCCTACCTAGTCAAATGATACCGAGCCTGGCTAGGTTGTAAAACCCCTAAAGAAGCCCCCGGCTGAGTACAGAAACGTCGAATATGACCTGGCTGATTACACACCCAACAAGTAAGCGGTGCCTGAGCACCAGACTGGTTCAAAATCTGAGCTGATGAAGACCCCAACGACTGCCTCCCCACAGAGCATTTGATCGGCCCAAAGCCCGGCTGGTTAAATGATCCTGGTGGTACAACTACTGGTTGAACTACTAACCCTGCCCCCTTCCTCTGTGCGCAAACCGAAACCTTGTGGCCCAGCAGACCACACCTGAAACAAATAACACCCCTCTGTTTACTTTCTCCCGAACCCAAATCCGACACTGGAAGGGTAGTTCTAGTCTGACCTCCCTGTTGCGGGTTTAAACCCTTATGCCTCTTAAAAGGCCTACTAACACCCCGAGTCACAGGAGTCGCCGAGATGGCTTCCTCCCCACTCTGCCCCATTGCTAACACCGCAGCCTCTACATGGGTGGCTGCCTCAACAAGCACCCTATAACTTCTATGCCAAGACCCCACAATCCTATCACGGATGTCGTCACGCAGCTTTCTCTGAAACTCGAAACAACGCAATTCCTCTGTTTCCACCAATTCTGGGGCAAACCTCGACAAGTTAGCAAACCATCTTTCAAACCTCACCAAAGGTGTAGTACCTTGGCGTAACTCCACAAACTGTTTCCGCAACTCTTCCCGAGCGGAAGGAGGGAAATCACAACTTCCTCGCCTAGGCATCCTAGTAAAAGTAACAAAGGATATTAGCACATTCATACATGTGCCGAAGCTAAACACTCACGCCCTAATATATGGACAACTGTAATTCACTCCACATAAGCACATAAACACATAAGCACTTACGAATTTCATTTCTGGATAATGATAGTCCCGAGGCGTTACTAGAGTTCCGGTTAGAAACAGCATTGATCAAGTGC